TGTCCTGTTTGGCCCTTACATTTTAAACACATTCTAGCAGAGTGTTTTTATTATTATGAAATTTTATTATGTGTATGTGTCTGAGTGTGTCTTTGTACCATGTGTGAGCAGGAACCTTTGGAGGTCAGAAGAGTCAAGTTCTTCATTCTTAGGCCAACTTTCAAATGTGTATTAACACAATTGGACAGAATTTTGTAACCTTTGAAATGTATGCCTTTTTTTTCCCCATAGAGAAGAATTGCCACTCTTTGGCCTGTTCTTGGTATTCGTCAGGTTAAGACATAAAAGCATGTAGACAGAAAACCCTACAGCTAGGTAGTACAGAAGATAGCAAATGCTTGATGAAGACGTCACCATGAAACAGGGTTTGGTGTTGTTGTTGTTTGTTTTAATTAGGGGATGGAGACATAGCTCAGCAGTTAAGAACACTTGCTGCTGTTGCAGAAGACCTGGGTTCCCAGATCTCACATCTGGCAGCTTGCAGCAACCACCTGTAACTCCAGTTCCAGGGGATTCAAACCCTCTTCTGTGCTGGTGATCAAACCAAAGGCTTCTTGCCTTCTAACTGTGCTCCTCTACAGAACTACACTCCTGTGCATTCACTTTTTAAAGTCATGCCACAGAGAAGGAGGTGGTAATTTAAACAGTTTACATCTGGTGTTCAGGGTGTGACTTACAGATGCTAAGCGAATCAGCTAGAACTGTGTCACCCATAAGTCTAAATATATTTACAAGGTACTGTCAGTTCTCAAAATTGATTCATAGAACTTTGTTTTGAGTCCCAACTGCCATTTCTCTCTCTCTCTCTCTCTCTCTCTCTCTCTCTCTCTCTCTCTCTCTGTGTGTGTGTATCACACTTGTGTGGATGCCTGTTTTACGACACTTGTGTGGCAGTCAGAGGACAACTATGTGGAGTGGAGTCTTTCCTTCCAACTTCATGTGGGCCCCAGGGATCAGACTTAGGGCACCGGGCTTTCAAGGCAAGCACCTTTGTCTGCTGAGTCATCTGAAACTAGCCTGGAACTGAACTGCTTGCTAGTGGGACCCAGGGATCCTGCTGCCTCCACTCTCAAGAATGGGATTATAAATGTGTGCCACCACACCCAGCTTTTTATATGGATGCTGGGAATGGAACTCAGGTTGTCATGCTGTCCCCACAAGCAGGTTCCTTCCAGCCCCTTATGTGTCTTTTTGATAGAGAGGTTTAATGGTTATGCATTCTAAAGTGTAAGATATTTTCTCTCAGCACTTTGAAGGTGTTGTTCCATTGTGGTCTGGCTTCTGTTCTGTGACAAGGCCATGTGATCATTTAATTGCCATCATCCTCTGGATCTACTTATGGTTTTCCTTGTCTTTGGTGTTCCATGGACTCTGTTGTAGGTGTATGTTTTACAAAAACAATTACCCAGTATGTGACTTCTTGGCCTGTTTGGATTGATGGATTTGTGTTTGTTAATAAGTTTAGAAAAGCTGTACTATTACTGTCTGTTGCATTGCACCCTACTCCTCTTGTTTGTTTGCTTGTTTTCGAGACAGGGTTTCCTTCTGTAACCCTGGCTGTCCTGGAATTCACTCTGTAGAACAGGCTGGCCTTGAACTCAGCACCCTCCCAAAAGTGCTGGTATCAAAGGCGTGTGCCACCGCCGCACCTCCACCACCACCACCACCACCACCCAGCCCTACTACTCTTTTGATTAGCTTTTTTTCTAAAACTTTGACAGATGTGTTAGACCTTCTCATTCTGTCTTCATGCCACTTACTATCTCTAGTTTTTTCATTTTAATTTATTCTTTGCACACCCATTTGCCATGGTATGCCATGGCATGCTCTTGGGCGTCAGAGGACAACTTTTGGGAACTGGCTTTGTCTCCTGCCTCGTGGGTCTCTGGGTTGAGTTCAGGTTGTCAGACTTGGCAGTAGGCACTTTTAGTGGCTGCATTTCGCTGGCTCTATTGTCTGGTTTTAAAAAATACGTATTCTCTGTTTTTTTCTATCTTGGATTTGTTTCTCTGTCCCTGCTCCTGAGTAGAATCTTCAGATAGTTCTCTTTCCCTTCACTAAAAAAAATCACTTCAGTTATGTCTAAACTGCTGTTTTATATGTAAACTGAATTTTAAATGTTTAATTATAATACTGCTCTTTTATTTTTGAGACAGGGTCTCTCTGTGTAGTCCTGACTGTCCTGGACTCTCTGTGTACACCTGGCTGTCCTGGACTCCCTGTGTAGACCTGGCTGTCCTGGACTCTCTGTGTAGACCTGGCTGTCCTGGACTCCCTGTGTAGACCTGGCTGTCCTGGACTCCCTGTGTAGACCTGGCTGTCCTGGACTCCCTGTGTAGACCTGGCTGTCCTGGACTCCCTGTGTAGACCTGGCTGTCCTGGACTCCCTGTGTAGACCTGGCTGTCCTGGACTCCCTGTGTAGACCTGGCTGTCCTGGACTCCCTGTGTAGACCTGGCTGTCCTGGACTCCCTGTGTAGACCTGGCTGTCCTGGACTCCCTGTGTAGACCTGGCTGTCCTGGACTCCCTGTGTAGACCTGGCTGTCCTGGACTCCCTGTGTAGACCTGGCTGTCCTGGACTCTCTGTGTAGACCTGGCTGTCCTGGACTCCCTGTGTAGACCTGGCTGTCCT